TATTTGTCTTCAAATCCTTTGACTTCTGTTTTTACTTACTTCTGTTTCAAACTCCTGTGCTAATTTCTTTTATAGAATCTCTCATCTTTATTCCCTAAAGTGCTACATTTTATCTTAAGTTCTTTTCGTAGTGGTACATTCAACAACTTCCCTTGTGGCATATTCTGCTACCATTTTATTAACGTGTTGGCCAGAAATTACTTTATCTAACTAAAAGCTATGGACACCATTTTACTACTATTGTGTTCTGTCTTGTCTGCATAGAACTGGTGGAATAAAATAAAGCCCGTTGCCTTTAGGGGGCCAAGGTGTGAGGGTCTCCCTCAGAGTCAGGCTTCTTTGTCATTGATCTCCAACAGCCTGTGGGTCAACTCAGGGTGAGAAAAGCCCAAGGTTGGGTTCTCTACATTTGTCATTTGTCACATGGTTCCACCGCCATGCCACACCTTCTCCACTGTGGTAGATTGGAATTTCTCTGCAACTCTGAGCCCAAATGAGCCTTTCTTCCCTTAAATTGATTCTGTTGGGTATTTTAATCACACCAACATGAGAGTAACCAATACAGAATCCTAATGGCACCTCATGAGCAAAGTCTTCAAACCACCGCCTGTCTGCCAATTCACTAAACTGATTTATGCCTCACAGTGTCTGGAGTTGAATTCTCTAATTAGTCCTCCCTCCACCCCCCCACTCTCAACACTCACCATAGGCTTCTGAGACCTGGTTATATTATAGAACTGATTTCCTAATAAATACAGGGCTCAGTTATAGTCATGTCCATATATTTAAATCTCTATTGCAGGAGACAAGAAACTGTTTCTGTACAGTTGTTAATTTGTTTTGTGGTTTTGAAGATTGTATATCTTAATGCAGTCTTGTTTTGAGTAATATTATATAACTTTCGTTCAGAATTTGAGAGCACAGAGAAGCACAGTAGCACATACCTATGAGCCCAGCACTTGGCAGGTGAAGGCATGAGAGCAGTGGCCTCAGGAGCTTGAGGCTAGCTTTGTCTAGATAGTGATTCTGGACTGCATGAAGCCCTGCCTCCAAAGAGCAAAACCAAACACAAACAAAAAATGTGTTAATTTGTTTACTGATGGTTTTGTGATTATACCTCTGTACCTCTTAGTCTCTCATGTAGCTAGAATCTTAAATCAGTCTTGTAATAAAAACCCAGAGCCAGATATTGGGGTGAATGCTGAAAGATCAGAGAGACAAAGGAACAAGCCACTGCCATGTCTGACCTCTAGGACTCCTCAGCCTGAAAAGGCTTCAGCTGATAGACCTCTAGTCAAATGAGCTTCCTCAGCTGAAAAGGCTTCAGCCAAAAGAGTCTCTAGCTGAAAGGGACGCTTCTGCTGAAAAGCCTTTACTTCCTGTCTCCTCACGCCTTATATACCTTTCTCCGCCCAGCCATCACTTCCTGGGATTAAAAGAGTGTATGCTTCCCAGGACTGGGATTAAAGATGTGTGCCACCACTGCCTGGCTCTGTTTCTCCCCTAGACTGAGTCCATCTCATGTAGTCCAGGATGACTTTGAACTCAGAGATCCAGACAGATCTCTGCCTCCCAAGTACTAGGATTAAAGGTGTGTGGCACCACTGCCTGGCCTCTATATTTAATGTAGTGGCTTGTTCTGTTCTCTGATCTTCAGGCAAATTTTATTAGGGTATACAATATATCACCACACCCTCAAATCCCCTAAAATCTGTGCATAAATAATGACATGGTCTATCCTTTGCTAGGTTTCTTTAGACCTTTTCTGCATGTCTAGACTGCCCTTCACTTGGCCTTCTCCTTCCTCACGTCCTGTTACTAAGTTTGCTGCATCCTGGTCTAAGCCATCTTCTCTCATCAGACTATTACAGAAGCCTTTTAACTGTCTGCCTCACTCATGGTCCTTTCCTTCCCCAATTCATCCTCCAACCGTGGGGCAGCTAGAAGAAAATGTTTGCAACATACAAAAATGCATTTCTAAACATATACAGAACTCTGAATGTGATGTATACAAATAAAAATTACGAAAACCTCATGATTCCTAAACACAAAACATGTCTATATCCCTAGAAATGAAATGCAAATTTATATTTTAGGATGTTATTTATATCTCAAGCTTCGCTAGGTGAAGTTTAAGTATATATTTTGGAGGGCGATATATTAACATTTAGAAGATAGCTTTAAAATGAGCTGAGCAATTCCACTTCATGAACTTTTCTTTCACAGCACTAGGGCAGTGTTAGACAATCATTTGCATCTAGAATGATGTTTGTTAAAGCTGTGTACAGTGCTGAAAGGCAGAGAACAGCCTGACCTAAAGTATTTGTTAAAGAAGCAATTTGGTATGTCTAGACAACAGAACTTTATGGGACTATAAAACGACAGTGCAAGGTTCTTTTTCGTTTCTCCTTGAACACCATAATAAATATGTATTTTTAATGAAGAAATAACTTGCAAAGCTGCATGCGTAATGCAGCCTGTTTTTGTAGGGCAGAAGAATGTCAGGGTGACAGGTGAGAGGAGAATGTGCCTAGCAGAGTAAGAGTTCTGGAGAACTGTGCCCAGATTCTTAGTTTTTTGCTTTTGATAGTAAATCTGTAGATAATTTAACATTTTTCAGGCTTAGCTATATTTTATTTCTTAAGGCAAATATGTGATAAATATACTATATATACTCTATTGTCTGTCATCTATCATATCTATCAATCTATCATCTATATATGTATGTATGTATGTATGTGTCTATCTGTCTATCTATCTGTCTGTCTGTCTTAGTTAATTTTCTATGCTGTGATAAAATGCCAAGACCAAGGCAGCTTATAGAAGGAAGAGTTTGTTGAGGCTTACAGTTCCAGAGGATGTGTCTATGACCATTTTGATGGGGGGCATGGCAGCAGGCAGCAGGCAGGTGTAGCTCTGGAGCAGTAGCTGAGCGCTTACATCCTTAAGACAGCAACCATGAGACAGAGAGAGAGAGATGACCTACAAACATGTGGGCTTTTGAAACTTCAAAACCCACCCCCTCCTCCATTAATGCCATAACTCCTCATCCTTCCAAAACAGTTTCACCCACTGGGGACCAAGTATTCAAATATATGAACCTATGGGGCCCCCCATTTCATTCCCTGGCTCCCATCGGCTTGTAGCCATATCATAACACAAACTATATTTAGTCCAACTTCCAAAGTCCCCATAGTCTTTCAGTTCTAAAACTGTTTGAAAGTCCAAAGTCTCTTCTGAGACTCAAGACCATCTCTTAACTGTAAGCCCTTGTAAAAATCAAAAGGCAAACTCTATACTTCTAACATACTGTGGCACAGAATATGCAATGGTATATTGTATATACATGGTGAGGAAATACTGGACCAAAGCATGATTGAAACCCTGTTGAGCAAACTCCAAATCCTGCAGCTCAGTGTCCAGTGTCAAATGGCTTAGAGGGTTCCACCCTCCCAGCTTTGCTGACTGCAGCAGTATTCTTCCTCCTCCTTCTAAGAAAAGACAATTTTCTTCTCCAGGGAGTGTGAGCTGGGACTACATCCGTATTGCTTTCTTCTTTAAGAGTGAGACTTTAGTAAGCTAAAGGAATGAAGGAAAAACAATATGTTAAATATAGATAGTTAGGTGTGTGACAGTTTGTTATAGTATTATTTTATGATTTTGAAATCTGTCATAATTTAAAAAATCTTTAACCTGCTGATCACGATGCGTCAGGTTGTGTAATGAGACAGGAGTGTCATGAACCTGAACTAGTGAGACTCTGTCTCAAAAAAACAAAAGGCAAAACCAGAGAAAAACAAACAAAAATATCTGGCATTTTAAAATTTGCCACTTAGTGAAGAAAAAAAAAAACCCATATGAAATTATTATTTTAAATATCCTGTTAATTTTATTTAACCAAGTGTCTTTTAAAATTAATTTTATTTTCTGGTATTATGTAAACATGGCTTAAACCATGTTTAAGAATATAGAATGCTAGGGAAAAAAATCCTGTTTCACTTTCCCCCAAACCTCTAAGCAGACCATACTGCTGGTTTCACTGTTGAATTTCTAAATACCAAAATGTGTTTTAAAAAATAATTTTTTAGGGGGCTGGAGAGATGGCTCAGTGGTTAAGAGCACCGACTGCTCTTCCAGAGGTCCTGAGTTCAATTCCCAGCAACCACATGGTGGCTCACAACCATCTGTAATGAGATCTGGTGCCCTCTTCTGGTGTGCAGGCATACATGCAGGCAGAACACTGTATACATAATAAATAAATAAATAAATCTTAAAAAAAAAAAAATTTTAAAAAATTTAAAATAAAAGACCTTTCTTCTTCCACCTCCTGGTTGTGGTAGATGGGAGCTCGCTCTTCTACCTCTCCACAGTGCCCCTCCTTTGGAGTTACCATGGGAAGCCCTTCCTCTTGGATTACCATGGGGAAACACTAGCCGGCCATTTCTGCTTTTCAACTCACAGAACTTCAGCTGGAAGCATGCTTTCCTGATTGAGTGCTGTTGGCTCTTTAACTCCCAAGAGGGGCTCAAGTGCTCCTGTAGGGCTAACTGATGCAGACAGTGACTGTGTAGATGTCTTCAGTGATTTCATCATGCATGCTTATAAATAGGTTATGGACTTTGCAGTGGTGGTTTCTGTAATATCTGGAAACACTTATGATGTGTTTATAGATCGGGGTTATGCCAGGCTGTTTTCCAAAGCCTAGTGTGTCCACACGAGAGTCTTCTTGGTTTTGATCCATTGCCGTAGACAGGTTTTAGACACTCCTATCTCCAGCCAATGCTCCTTTGATCTGGAAGGTGACCCACATATTTAAATGCCGAGTGTTCCATAGTGTGTCCTTACTGCTGAATTCATAACACACTCAGATGACTTCATCTACAGCAAGACCATTTCCTTGTCCTTATCTAGAACTGTACATGATTTGTGCTCTGTTAGGAAATCGGTATAAAGCTAAACTGTTTGTAATGACCTTTCTGTGGGACATGTCTGTTTTTCAGAGTCATTTAGAAGACGAAGATGTGGAAATGAAAAACAACGTAACACAGGGAGACAAACTACGTGCCTTAAAAAGCCAGAGGCAGCCCCGCTCCTCGCCATCCTGTGCATTTAGGTAGCCCATGTTAAACCTTTCAGTTCACAGTGCTCTTCCATTTGTGGGAAGCATTTCGTCTTCACTTCAGAGTCTCGCTCTACAAAGGCCAAATTTACCTGTTTTCTGATGTATTGCTCCTTTGCCCCCATGCCCAGCTGTTGTATGTTTTATCACTGTTGGCAGTAGCTAAAATTTAAATGCTTATGAAAACAGTTCTTACGTCTCTGTGTCTGGAATTCTGCCTCGAACTACTGAGCAGTTATTTCTGGTTCTCTGTTCTAAATTCTACTTGGAGATTCACAGGCGCTTTTTTGGTGCTGTGGCAGCTCTTACCTGGTGTGCCAAGGTTTTGAAATGAAGCCAGTGCGTGGAGTAGAGTAGCTTGTACCAGGTTTTGGTATACCCCACAACTTGCCTTCCCCTTTGATTTTTAAGACTTGAGTAAGTGATTCCTCCATGTGCCTGAGAAATTATGAGCCATCTTGAATTTGAAGTTTGAAATTAGTCAGCAAAATCAGATCTGGGAGTTGGCTTCTGACCACAGAACAGTTGAAACCTTGTGATTGGGTTGAAAACAAAAGAAATCTTCCAGGAGAAGGAAGGGTTAAATTGGAACAACAGTTCTCCACCTGTGGGTCGTGACCCCTGGGGGGGAGTCGAATGACCCTTTCACAGGGGGGGTCACATATCAGATTTTACATTATGATTCCTAATAGTAGCACAATTGTAATTAAGAAGTAGCAATGAAATAATTTTCTAGTTGGGGGTGACCACAATATGAGGAACTGTAATTGAAGGGTCACGGCATGAGGAAGATTGAGAACCACTTTATTGGAAGAAAGTATAATTTAGCAAATATCTATGCATAAGGACAAATCCGTCCTGTACAGATCTCAGAAGCCGTGTTTAGATGTGAGTTTTCTTTTGAATTCTCCGATATTTTCTCAGGGGGTAGATTTCAGTTTCCACGATAACGCCATGGCACCATCAGGAAACACTTCTCTACTGAGCAGATACAGTGGCACCTTTTTGTGAAAAAGCAAGATGCTCTAAGTATTTCCTGGTGAAATAGCAAGCATGAATTATCTGCTGGCATTAGGACTTGTTTGTAAAGTGTATGCTGATGTCTACTGGCATGGTTTTTCCCTTTGATGGTTTGGTATCTTTAAGTCTCTGACTCAAATGCCATCTTTGTTTAACCGTGGGGATCTGGTGATACCTGAGCTGCTGTCTTTGATTTCTGCAGGTCAGACGATATGAAAGGACCCCAAAGGGCAGTGGCCCAGACTCTCAGGTACTGACAATAAACATACTTTTCTAGCTGCTGTAAATAGATATGACTTTTTAGACATATTTTCCAAGCACCAGACTCCATGAAAATAAACATAACTACTCAACTTTTTCTATCCATTTATTTATTTTGGTAGTTGGAATAAAACTCAAGGCCTTGCACACGCTCCTTCACTGAGCAACATCCTTAGCCTACCTTATAGCTTTTCAAATCCTCTTTCTTCCTGATTTTAAAACAAGCGCTCTTCTCTCTCTCTCTCTCTCTCTCTCTCTCTCTCTCTCTCTCTCTCTCTCTCTCTCTCTCTCTCTTTGTTTTGTTTTGAGGTCAGTTCTCTCTACATAGCTCTGGCTGTCCTGGAACTCACTACGTAGACCAGGCTGGCCTTGAACTCACAGAGATCAGTTTGCCTCTGCCTTCTAAGTGCCAGGATTAAAAACGTGCCTGGCTTAAACTCTATTTTAAAATGATTTACTTATTTTTATTTTATGTGTAAGGATGTTTTGCCTGCATGTATGTATGCGCACCACATGTGTGTGCCTGGTGCCTGCCCTCAGAAGAGGGCATTGGATCCCCTGGAACTGGAGTTACAGACAGTTGTGATCTGCCATGCCGGTGCTGAGACCCAAACCTGGGTCCTCTGCAGGAGCAGCAAGTGTTCTTAGTCACTGAGCCTTCTCTCCAGCTCTGAAATAAGCTTCATTTTTAATTCCCGCCCTGCCCTCAGGCTGGGTGCTGGTGGTGGTGACCTTTGTATTCTTTGAGCTCCCAGCACCTTCCTGTCTTCAGTAAACTCCAAAGTGCTCTGTAACTTGCTTTCCAACTCAGAGATGGATTCTGACCCCCTTCCATTTGTTAGCTCTCTTTATTTTTGTGTTCGTTTGCTCACTGCTGTGTAGTTTTCTTTTTTTCTGTCACCCCTAAGAGGAGGAAATATTAGTGCTTCTCTCTTGAAAAAAGTTCTCTGATCCTCCTGGAGTTGGACCCAGACCCTGGTATTACCAGGATCCATTGTGGCGGCACCTGGCGAGAACACTAGAAATGGTTGGCCGGTATCATTGATAAAACAGGACAAAGGCGCTGCCGTTTTCTCTTTGAGGATTTCACTCTAACCATGTTGTCTAGTGGGAAGTTCTGTTCGGTCCAGACTTCTTCAAAAGCCGGAGTCTCTTCCTGGTGTAACTTCCCACTTTTGTTTGAGGGGAAAATATGGCGTAAGCGGTGCTCAGAAGGGTGGGTGGTGAAGGAATGTGGGAACACGGCTTTGTGAAGCAGAGACGAAAGCACGGTCCAGTTTCATCACAGGATTTATCTACGACAATAGATATTTGGTGTTAAAGCCATGACTGAGCTCTGACTCTCTTCAGCGGAGCCAATTTTCCCTTGGTGCCCACTGGCACCTTGGTTATAGAGCACCTGCTGGGCCCTTGGGAGTGGAAAGGAGGGACAAGCAAGTCTTTGCTCTCAAGGAGCTTCTGTTGAGTGATGGAAATAGGCAAGAAGGAGATGATGAAGGGCAGTAGAAGAGCTGTGACTTACTGTGAGTGGGCCAGTTGAAACAGGCTGCTGCTGATCCTGCTTGAGGAGTCGATAATGCCCTGCCATGGGAGGTGATAACCACAGGGACCATTAAAGGGCAGGTGATAAGAGTGAGTTTGGGGGAGTGGAAGACCAGAGGTGAGGAGAGGCAAGGAGAGACGAGGATTCCCTGTAGGGGAAAGGGGGTCCACAGACTTTACAAAGGGGTGAACAGTCTGGTCAGGACACCCACAGCTAGCCGAGCATGTCTGGTCAACTTTCCTGTTTGTTTTGGGGACAAAGACACTGGATGCAGTTGCACACACAGAGGACAAACGGTATTGCCCCTCACCTGTTGTGTAGAGACAGGTGAGAGCCAACTAAAGCGAGGCCGTTATGCCCTTGCCTCTGTGGGTTTAATCTTGTGGGACCCACTCAGAGAAGCAAACTCGGATTTTAGAGGTTTTCACAAGCCAAGCCAAGGACGTTAGCAGGCTTTGTGGACATGGAAGAGAGGTTACAAGGTTTGAATAGTGAAGTAACAGAATGAGCTGTTTTAGATTTCACCAGAGGGAATGTATGGTCTGAACTGTTGAGAAATGAGAAGGAAGTACAAGAGCAGTGGTGGCCTCGGACTCATATGGGGCGGTTGCCAGCTGGAAAGGAAGGGGTGGGTTTGAGGGGGACTTTTACGGCATTGAGCTTTCTTCATTTACCTTGCTATAGTTCACTGTGGAATATTTTAGGTAACACAACTGTGGTGTGACGCTCTGTCCTTTTCTTCTCCTCCAAAGATTAAGTTCTTCCCCACAACCATCTGTGTCTACTGTGAAGACCCCCAAAGTGTGTTTGTCCCCTTCAGCGACAGCCAAAAGGATAAACAGAGGCTCTTCGTCTTCGGGTGCAAATACAAGAAGGTAATTTTTCTCTACCTCTTCCAGGGCTCTAGCCTGAGGTGAGAAAGGTCTGCAGGCAAGGAATTAGGCTGCAGGTCTGTGAGAGGAGGGGCTGGGAAGAAGTGGAGAAACCCCAAAGAGTTCGCTATTTTTCTGGGGTTTCTGGTCCTTCCTTCCTGGCAGGGGCTGAGGCTTCAGAAGGGATGGGTAGGTGTGAACCATCATAGTCTTCTGGTCCCTCTCCACTTTGCTTCACGTGATGTAGATATAGTCAGCCCTACTAATGATCAACAGTCTTGTTCCTCGTCCTGTGTGTCCAGACAGTGGGAACCAACTCAAATGGGTAAAAATGCTTGACGTCATCCTATGCTAGAAGAATATGCCTGGGTTAAATCTTGGGCTTAAGTCAGCTTCCAGGCTCTCCTTATATTTACCCTTTGCCTCTGGCAGATACAATTCTAAATGTTCTATTTAAAGACCAGTCAGTGTTTAAGCCAGTTTCTTGGGTCTTGATTAACTTTTTTGACCAAGAAACTTAACATGTATGAGTAAGGCCACAAATGATAGTGTTATAAAGAGTGATGAAGCTGTTTCGTCTTCTGTGTGGATCAGCATCACCTCCCTTGCATTCCCGTGATGCTGTGTTTACATATGTGAGTGTACATTGTGTTTCTCCCCCAGCTTCCCCGTAAACTCCCGGCTGGCCAGTTCGCTAGGGAACTTGAACGCTGTGACGGATGACCCCGAGAACAAAAAGACCGCCTCACCCACCAAGGCAGCGTTCATAGCCAGCCCGTTCACCAGCTTCTTGAATGGCAGCTCCCAGCCACCTGGCAGAACTTACCCTGAGCTCAACAACAACCAGTATACCAGAAGCAGCAACAGCAGCAGCAGTGGTCTTGGGAGCAACCTGAACAGCTCCCCAGGCCCCCTGAGCGCCAAGCCTGAGGAACACACCACCGTCCTTAGACCCTCCTTCCAGGGCGGGCTCTCTTCCTCCTCGGCGAGATTCCTGAGCCGTTCTATCCCTGTAAGTTCACAGACACCACCTCTTGGTCCTCAGAACCCTGAATGCAACTTTTGTGCCTTGCCTTCCCAGCCGAGGCTGCCACCAAAGAAATTTAATAGTGCCAAGGAAGCCTTCTGATCGACGCCTTCCCTCTGTGTTGTGCAACTATCCATGCGCTACATTCTGCTGGCTCCTCTTCAAGTAAATGCCGAGTTTCAACCGGGTTTTCCTCCTTCTTTTTCTCCCTCTCCCTGGTGAGGTGGATTTTTCCTTAAAAGGGAGAGAGCTTTCATTCTATGGGTCGTGGACACCATAGGCTTTGTTACTTTTCAGTTAAGTTTCCGAACCATTCTGAATATCTGGTACCAGGCAAGGTACTCGATCCATAGCATTTGGTTTGCTCAGGGGGGCTTGTTGAGAATGGCTTCTCCAGTCCCCGAGGTCAGGATTTGGGGTAAAGAAATATGGGGCATGCAGGAACAGTGTCTTCCCAAGGTTGAGCACCAGGCCTCCTGCACAGAGAGGACCCATTATTCTGGAAGTGGCAAATGAAGTTGTTAGTCAGAGAGAGGGGGCTAGGAACCTGGCCTGCCAAGGTAGGAGCACGTAGTCTCTAGGAAGACATTTAAAATTAGCCACCCCTCTTCTGGAGACAAGTGAGAACTGCAAATGATTTTTTTTTTTTTTTTTTTTTTTTTTTTGCCAAAAAGATCTTTATTTAGTCACCAGGCTCCCTTTTTACTAGCCCCATTTGTATGAAGATCTATTGGTCAAGTCTCTACTACAAATTTAAAATTTTGATTGTGTCAAGAGGCATTGATATCCATAGGATGTGAATTTAGTTTTGAGAGGGGAAGAGGGCAAATAGAACTATATCCAACGTATGAAGGGGGTGTGATGGTGGGCGTCTTGGTTGCGCTCTGGGCAAGAGCAAGCCTGGTTCCCTGGGAAGGCTCTGTCTGCATTCTGCCATGGCCCTGCTCTTTAGCTATTTGCTCAGCCCATCATTAGGGCAAGACTGCTTTCTACAGGGTCAATGAGGAGAGGAAGAAAAGGGTGCTGAGTGCTTGTGGCCCACTCAGCAAAACACAGCCTCCATGGTTAGGCCATGTTGGGACCCAGTTTCCCTAGCCTATATGAGGATGTTTCCTAAAATGAGAATGCAGTGATGCAGTGTGTGTGTGTGTGTGTGTGTGTGTGTGTGTGTGTGTGTGTGTGTGTGTGTTCTGAGTGTATGTTTTCATGTGTAGGCTGTCTGGATTCATCTCTACTATAAGCTTCTTTTCAAAAATTGTTTTTTTTCCCCCTGCATGCCATACAATCGTTTCTGTAAGAGAAATTCTAGCATATATAAATGTCCTTGTCTGATTTTTATTTCTATGAAAAATTTCATCATTATTTAAAAATTTTAACCTTCACATTTATTTTATGTATACAGGCATTTTGCCTATATGTATATATGTAAGTATGTATGTGCACCATGTGCATGTAGTGCCAGCAGAGGCCAGAAGAGGGCGTCTCATCAATACTTTAGATTCTGTTATAGATCAGGATTCCAGTTAGCCATCTGCCCACTCTTTGACCTGATTCTGATCTGATTCTAATCCCTTTATATACATTGAGGAGATTTGTGTGATAAATATGGAAAGCCATGGCCAGGGCAGAGTGCAGGTCGGGGTTACAGGGTGAGCGCTAGATGTGAGAGGACGGTGTATTTAAGCTTTTACAACTGTGTTGATACATCCTGTACTTCACAGACTCAGTTGAGTTCAGCCAATATTTTCATACGTTGTTTTGTGGATCAGCCTCTTTTTTAGAACTGACTGCAGATCTTTATGTTTCCAGGAAAAGTGTCATATAAATAATTATACAAATAGCTCGTAGATTACGCTGCTCAAGGCTTGTGCCATCCACACTTAAAGTGTGATGCCAGGAGCATCAGTAAATTGGCAAAGTCTTATCTTCTGGGATCCCTGTTTAGGAGGGAGAAGTGGGTACCCGTTCTCCTCTGCTAATTGGAGCCTAGGGGAAGGGGTGGGATTCTTTACGCAGTACAGATCCTTCCTGCACCCCATGATGTTTACATAAGTGAACTTTGGCCTCATTCCACATTGCTTCTTTTTTCCCTTCTTCCTCCTCTTCCACATCCCTCCTTTTCTGGCTGGGATGGGGTGAGTTTCCAGTAATTAGTTATAAAATGTGGGCAGTTGGGCGGCCAGCACCCCGCTTCTTCTGTTGTTAGTGCATTGTAAAGAAAGGCACTTAGGACTAGAACTGCCGGTATGGCTACCCTTTCCTCCCCCTCACGCCGGTCCTCTTTGCAGACCTCCCTTCCTTTATCGTTGCCTCTGCAGCCTTCTGTGGCCCCCTGTAACGCAGAATTAAGTTCTGCCCTTGATGACTGGTTGGTAGGACATCCAAATGAACATGGAGGTTCCCACTTCATGTGGAAATAAGTAGGGGGTCGGAAACTGCCCTCCTTCATAGTGCACGAAGCTTTTCCGTGAGACTGGCCTTTGCCAGTCAGTGCTGCCGAGGATAAAGCAACACAGGACCCAAGAGCAAGTAGGACCAACTCACTCAACAGAAGCATTTTAAGGGAAGTCAAGTCCTTGCCCTTACAAACACGAGTGCCTGAGTGCAAATCCCTGGAGCCCGTGCACAGCTGGACCACAGTGTTCCTGTGGTGAGATGGGAGGCAGACAGGAGAACTTCCAGGAGCTTGCAGGTTAGCTAGCCTGGCCTACACATCCCAGTGACATATGACAGAAGCTCTGTCCCAAAACAAGGTAGAAGTCAGGACAGCACCTGAAGTTGTCCCCTGACCTCCACATGCGCACTGTGGCACGTACATCCCACCCCACCACACACACAGCCCACTTTAAACTTCTTAGATGAGAATATGGAGTCGGCATGGTAATATCCTCCCCGTACCTTTAAGAAAGACCCAGAAACTCTTGGGGGATGGGGGGGATGGGTGTTTAGAGGGAGTCTAATATTTTAAAAGCTACAATTAGCATCTCTTTGGAAAGCTGCAATTGCTCTCTCCCTTTTTGCTGCAGCTCAGCCCCCAGAAAAATGTAAAAATGACTTCCTTGTTCTGTCATTAAAGGCTTTAAGATGGAAAACAGGAATAAATGTTGAGGAATCCTTGCAGTTGTGACAGAGTGCTGAGAGAGAGTCAGGTTTTCATTTCCTTATCTTGACCCCTTGGCTTAGTCTTGTCTCCACTGGCCAGTGCAAAAGCCCAAGATTTCACGCTTGGTGACCTCCTTGCTGTAGAAAGCAATTTGCTTCCTGACTGAGAGGTTTTTCAAGTGCCTGAGAAATGAGGGGCATGTGACGAGGGTGTGGGTGGGGTGGAAGTGTTTTATTAAGTTGAAATTGCTTGTGGTATCTGTCTTGAAGATTTGCTATGTTACATTTTTAATGACACTTTTCACTGAACTGCTGCTGCTCATCACCCCGTCCTCACCTGACCCCCAGGTCTGAGTTCCGGCATGATGGTTCCCCCTAGAAGCTGTTCTATATCCCACTTTGGTCTTTGTTGTAGCACTTCTCAGGACTGTGGATTTGTCCCGTAGGCTTTAAGCACTGTGGGAGCAGAGATGGTACCTTGATTTCCATGGTTACATGCCTGGATCCTGTGATGTAGTAGGCACGCAGCAGGTATATGTTGATTAAATAAAAGGATGGATGGAAGTTTAAATGAATGAGGACGGTAAGAGTGATTACTTCTGTTCTATGTTTAAAAATCTCAAGGGACAGAGAGATTAAATTTCTGCCCAAGATTGTCCTGCAAACAGACAACAGAACCATAATTTGAACCTAGGGCAGTTTAAATCCTGCAAATACAGTATTGTGAAGGCTTTATGTTGTGTATGGACTATTACAGGGGGTTAAAAAGATAGAGATGTAAATGACAGACATATGAACAACATCTCATTTTTTTTCCCCAATGAGCAGGGAAACTGTGAGGAAAGGCTAATGTTTTAGTCATTTGAGTTTAGGGTTGAAAAGGAGCCTGTGAGGGACCCTAGTGAAGGCAGGAAGGTGGGGGATGGCTGTTCTGTGCAATGGGGAGAAGTAACACTGAGTTACACCTCAGTTCTGTAGTTGGGGTCTTAGGTTCTGAAAATAAGTTTACCTGGGTTCAAATTCTGTTTCTGACACCTTTTTTTTTTGGAAGTATTTGGCAACTTATTTAACTATTCTCCATGCCTCAGGGAAATAATGTAATTATAACAATCAGAGGCAAATCAATTTTTCTTGTTTGTGTGAAGCTTGCGTAATATTTCAGAACTGTTTAAGGTAAGGAATATATAATTTTTTTTGGTAAATTTCATACAAATATATGGCTGTGGCTTTGAAAGTGGCTGGTGATTTACAGAGTGTTGAAGCTAATGTCAGGATGTCCATTGTAGTAAAACGGTTTCAGTGTTTGGTTGAGAAAAATCCTGGGAAGTATCATGCAATTGCTCATCAACATTGCTTGGTGGATTGTCAGCTGTTATTGCTAGTGAGAGTCATGAGACTTCTCAGGACAGCTGAAGGCCAGGACAGCTGAAGGCCAGGACAGCTGAAGGCCAGGACAGCTGAAGGCCCGCTCAGCTGAAGACCCGCTCAGCTGAAGACCCGCTCAGCTGAAGACCCGCTCAGCTGAAGACCCGCTCAGCTGAAGACCCGCTCAGCTGAAGACCCGCTCAGCTGAAGGCCAGGACAGCTGAAGGCCCGCTCAGCTGAAGGCCAGGACAGCTGAAGGCCAGGACAGCTGAAGGCCAGGACAGCTGAAGACCAGGACAGCTGAAGGCCAGGACAGCTGAAGGCCAGGACAGCTGAAGGCCAGGACAGCTGAAGACCCGCTCAGCTGAAGGCCAGGACAGCTGAAGGCCCGCTCAGCTGAAGACCCGCTCAGCTGAAGGCCAGGACAGCTGAAGGCCAGGACAGCTGAAGACCAGGACAGCTGAAGGCCAGGACAGCTGAAGGCCAGGACAGCTGAAGGCCAGGACAGCTGAAGACCCGCTCAGCTGAAGGCCAGGACAGCTGAAGGCCAGGACAGCTGAAGACCCGCTCAGCTGAAGGCCAGGACAGCTGAAGACCCGCTCAGCTGAAGGCCAGGACAGCTGAAGGCCCGCTCAGCTGAAGGCCAGGACAGCTGAAGGCCAGGACAGCTGAAGGCCAGGACAGCTGAAGGCCAGGAC